GAAAGATGTTTACTTGTGCTTTATTGACTATGCAATGGCATTCAACTGTATGAATTATAACAAACTGTGGATAACATTGCAAAGAATGGGAATTCCAGAACACTTAATTGTGCTCCTGAGGAATCTATACATAGACCAAGAAGCAGTCATTCAGACAGAACAAGGAGACATTCAATGACTTAAAATCAAGAAAAGTGTATGTCAGGGTTGTATCCTTTCACCACACTTATTCACTCTGTATGCTGAGCAAATAATCCAAGAAGAGCAACACGACATCAGTATTGGAGGAAGACTGGAGGACTTAATGACAAAGATCAGAAACTGCAGCCTTCGGTATGAATTTCACCTCAATGTAAAGAAAACAACAATCCTCATAACTGAACCAATAAACAGCATTATAATAAACAGAGAAAAGATGGAAGTTACCAAGAATTTCATTTTACATGGACCCACAATTCATGCCCAGGGAAGCAATTGTCAAGAGATCACATGACACACTGCACTGGGAAAATTTGCAAAAGAACTCCTCACAGTATTGTCACTTGGAGGAGTAAGGGGCATGTGACCCAAGCCATGGCATTTTCAATGGCTTCATATGCATGCAAAAGCTGAACAATGATATATTTGAATTACAGTGTTGGCAAAGAAATATTGAATATACTATAACTTCCAGAAGAAAGAACAAATCTGTCTTGGAAGAAGTACAGTTAGAAAGAGGATGGTGAGTCTCTCATACTTTGGACATGTTATCAGGAGAGACCAATCCCTGGAGAAGGACACCACACTTAGTAAAGTAGACCATCAGCAAAAAAGAGGAGGATCCTCAACAAGACAGACTGACATAGTATCTGCACCAATGGACTCCAACACAGGAATTGGTAAGGCTAGTGTAGGACCCAGCATGGTTTCGCTCTGTTGTGCTTAATGCCACTATGAGTCAAAAGTGAGTCCATGACGTCTAACAGCAACAACGAGATCTGATATTTACATAAGTCACAAGCCTGACAGAAAACATGTTTTCTCATGGAGACATCGCCTCAGTAATCCATTACATTCAGATCACCTGAGACCACAGCCAGGCTTCTCCAGGCAGGACAGCTCACATTAGGAGCCAGAGTCTAACTCTAAGTCTAAGCCACAACCCCTACAGAACACCAGGCCCAGAGCCTCAGTTTCCCCAGACATTTAAAGAGAAGGTGGTTGCATGCTGGAAAAAGCATGGAAGACAGAAATAAAGACATAAGCACACCCAGACTGAATTCCTTAAGGAATTACAAACATATTCAGAGCTAGGAAACTTTACCCAGAGTTCCTTCAATTCTTTCCACTCTGCTACACAGAAGCACAGAGCTAGAAGGGGCATTAGAAGTTGGAGAATTCAATCCCCACATTTCATACCTAAGGAAAAGAGACCAAAGATATGAAATGACTTATTCAAGGTCACAGCCTTGTTCAGGCTGCCAGCCCAGTTTCTTTTTCAAGACAGTCTGCTACTGGATTGGTCCTCAAAACGTCACGGCCAAGTGAATACACACAGCCCTGAGAGAATCCAACAGAGAGGAAAACAACCATGTTGAAAAGTTCAGCAAAGAACACAGAGCTGGAATGATTGTGTTCAAGTTCCCACCAAAGGGAAATTGTTATTAATTTTCTTTCTTATTTACTACAAATTCCACATTCCATTCTTTTCAAAATCATCATTTGAGATCTAGTGGCCAAAGATACAGTTGGAGTGATGGTCCACTGCGCCCGTCTAAAGGCTCCTCTGATCAAAAAGGATGGGCTATCCCAGAGACGGATTCCTAGCAATTCCAGAATTCCGGTCTGAAACCATCAGCCATGTAATATCAAACACTGAGGAGACCTGTATTTCCTGGACCCAGCTCCTGGTCAGATCGTCTTGGCACTGAATGAGAGTGAATGTGTCTGAACACGTCTGAACAAGGCTCGTAGAATTCCATAAAAAGTCAGCCTGGGTTTACCTGGGAAAACCAGCACTAAAACAATTATACCATACTTTAGCCAAATGCAGCCCTCTCAACCGTCTCAAGTCCAAAATACTTGGAAAGCAAGATGAATAAACAACAAAACCCAGGATTGCAGTAAAAATACAGGCCTCTAGGGTGGAAATGGGAGTCCTGGTATGACACTGTGGGTTCATGAACCAGACTGCAAAGCCGTTTGAACTGCAAGGTCGGAAGTTCAAGCTCACCAGCTGCTCCTCGGAAACCCTATACAGTGTCGCTATGGGTCGGAACCAACTCAATGGCACTTAACAACAAGGGTGGAAATAAAGGCTTACAAGAAGTCATAAGTTATTAGCTATAGGAGCTTAAGGAGCTCTGGTAGCGTAGTGGCTACGAATCGGGCTGCGAACCTTAAGGTCAGCGGTTCGAAACTACCAGCCACTCCACAGGAGAAAGATGAGGCTTTCTACTCCCGTAAAGATTTACACCCTCGGAAACCCTGTACAGGGTCGCTATGGGTCGGAACCGACTCGACGGCACTTAACAACAACAACAACACACACGACTTAAGCAAATCAAGGGCCAGGTATGAAAAGATTCTTGCCGTTGTTAAGTGCCATCAAATCAGTTCTGACTCATAGCGGCCCCATATAGGATTACTGTGGCTATAAATCCTTAAGGGAGCAGAAAGCCTCTCAGCCAAGTGTTTATCCTATGGAGCTACTGCACTCCCCAAAAGATCCTGGGCATATTTTTAAACAGACTCTATCTAAAGGTATCAAAAGTAGCTTGATCTCATTCTATATTTGCCTCACAGTTTCCCAGTCAGCATGATCATCTTATCACAGGCTGATTTCTTGCAAAAACTTTCAGTTATGAGAACTCAGCAGGTCTTGGAGCTACAAAATAGAGCCAAACACTAAAGAGACGGGTTTGAGGGATTTCCCCTGAGGCAATGGACAGAAGCTCTGCTTGGCCATCACGAACAAAAGGGTTTCTGTATGTGAACTCTCTGGTTAGCATTTTGCCACCTACATTGCAGTAGCATATCTATCTATCCCACAGAGTAGAAAGACATTTCAGAAGCTGGGTTTAAAACCCCAGGAGCACGAAAACTTATTTGTACTCATTGAAAACAAAGTATGCATTCTGATCAAAATTGCCTGGTTCTGGAGAGAAGGCAAGCTGTTCAAAAGTGCACCAAAATCACTCAGTCTAGAGAACCTTTTAGGTTTTGTGCGACACTGAGCTAGATCCCCCAAGAGCAGTCACTGGATCTCAGCAAAGGAGGAGAATCTACAGGACTGAAGGAGTGATGACAAGGCAATGTGTGAAAAAGGTTCTATGAATAAGTGTGCGTTCAGAGGAGGGCTGAGGGGAGGGGGCGGGCATTGGTTTCACCATTAAAATTTTGCTTAATCTGAAGACTTCTCTGGAAGCTAGGAGGTTTTCCTCCTTGTCAAGTAAGAAGGGAAACCTCTACCTCTAAGAAGGGAACTCCAATGAAAGCTGACTGGCCAACATCTGGAGGCCTGCAGAGAAGCTAGAGGAGGAGGAGGAGGAAGAAAATAAGGGCTTTTATCTTTGCCCCCCTTATTTCCAACACACCAGTATTTTCCAAAACACAAATGCACTGCCACAAAACACAGCTGAGCTCCATCACGCAGCATGATGTATAATTAATGATCAAGAGAAAAGAGCTTCAGTTCACCCTTGTGTTTTTATTATAGCCGGCCTCCACCCAGAGTCAGACTTCCTCACTGCTTTCTGTAGGAACCATGTTCACGGTTACAAGTCGCTGTATCCTGTAGAAGTTTGGGGGAAGGGGGACTTGGATTAACTTTACTACAAAAAGGTGTGACTACTGGAGACCAAGGTCAGTGTCCACCTGCATTATTCCCCTTGATATGCAACCCTCCAAAAGTGAAGTGCTATGAGGTCCCCTCAGATGGGAAGTACACACAAAAATGCAGTTCTATCAACTTTCTTTTCTCCAGCCCTTTCTTTCGATTATCCAGTTTTCCTTCAAAAACTACCTCTCTCCCCACCCCTAGCTTCCAGTCAGTGGGGGGGGAAGAAGACATCTCTACAGACAGGGCGACAGCCAGGACATCCAGGGTGTGGGGAAACTCGGGGCTGGTGGGCGTCTCTGCGTCAGGAATAGCTGAAGCCATCATCCAGCTACCTCAAAGCGCTGAGGGAGAGGCTCCGAGTGAAACTACCGCCTTGGCCAACTCCAGAGGAGTCCTCTCGCTTCAGTTCTGCGCTCCGGCAGGCATTTCTGGGGACCTAAAGTGGGTAGCCTGGGGGCGCAAGTACTGAGGCTGAAGAACTTGGGTTGCGGAGCATGTTTCAGAAAATATTCAAAGATAGTGAAGGAGGTGACATCATATTGGTGACCCAGCAACATTCCTAAAGTAGCAGTCCCATGGGATACCTCCCAAACTAGGGTGGGTATCCCCAACTTTTTCTTGCCCAACACCCCCTCCAAGTTCCCCCACTGCCTCTGGCCACAGTCCTACCCCCCCCCCCAGAATTCCCTAATCTAAAGGATTTCTCCTTCACCCAAAGGATTTTTTCCTTCCTTGTGACCCCACGAACTTATCTCCCCAACAGGTTCCTAAAGTGCGAGCTAATGGGTGTCCCCTCGCCCACCAGGTGAGTCGCACAGAACACACACCCGGAGCCCATTCGCGGGGTTGGCTCTCACTACCCTGCACCACAACACCCAAGCAGCGCGCGTCCCCCAGCCCGGTTCCAGCCGCTGCTGCAAACAACCTTACAATAAACAAGGGGACTGGATTGGGCGTCCGCGTCCAGGAGTGTTCCCGTTGGGGACAACTCCTCACCCCCGGCGTGCCACCCGCTGCCCTAATCGGAGAATGCCGAGCCGGCGGAAGGGAAGGCAGCGAGGGGAAAGCAGACAGAGATGCAGGGAGACACGACAGTGTGCGGAACGAGGAGGTGGGCTGCAGGGGATGTCGAGAAGCGGCAGGGAGAGCGCAGGGGACCAGCGCCTGGGGCGCGCGTTACCTTCGTCTTGCCCCCGCAGTGACAGCAAACGGTCCACAGGTACTTGAGCGTCCGCCAGAGCAAGATGATGAAGAGGCCCCCAAAAAAAGTCACCATGGAGGAGGCCAGGAAAGCCCACCACATGCGTTGGCCCCGGCTGTCGCACGGCACCTCCATGGTCACCGGGATGATGAGCGCATCCATCTTGGGCTCGTGGACCAAGGACGAGGAGGAAGAGGAGGAGGAAGAAGAAGAGGAAGAGGAGGACGCGTCTAGGCTGAGATGGTTCGCGTGGATATTGCTACTCATTCTAAGACTGCTGCCTCCGCCGCCGCCGCCGCCGCCGCCGCCGCTGCTGCCGCCGCCGCCGCCGCCACCATTTGCCATAGCTAGCAACGGGCAGCCGGCGCAGGGGCTCGGGGGAGCTCCTCCCGCCGCCAGCGCCAACCCCAACACCCATCAACAGCCATATTGCTGCTACCGCCGCCGCCGCGGAGCGCGAGGAGGGGGCGGGGAGGTGCCTGGGCTCGGGGCGCTATGCGCGACCTGGCGGGGTGCACCGAGATATATACAGCCAGCCGCCGCCGCCGCTGCCGCCGATCGCCCTCCCCCCGGCCCGCCCGCCCAGGGGGGAGGGGGGACGAGCGCGGCAGCTCCCCCTCCCCCGGCGCGCGCCCCACTCGCCCTGGGCTGTGCTGCGCCGTGCGCCGGCGAGCAAGAGCGAGGGGGCACCGCCGCCGGCCGCCCGCACCCGGGGTCTACGCCGGCCCCACGCCCTCCGCGCCGCGCCGCCCTCCGTGCGCCACGCGTGTGCGCTGCACTCGGGCCGGGACCCCAGCGCCTCCCGCGCCGCTAACGAGTCGTTCTTGGGCTGATTAGGCGCGAACTCGCTAATAATGTATAATCAGCACCCTCCTCCCTGGACACCCCCGCCGCCCCCACTCCCAGGGTAGCGCTCAGCGCCTGCTCGTCGTCCCTGTGCGCGCCCGGCCGCGGCAGGTTCACCGTGGCCGGCTGCCGGGCCGCCGACGCCGCCCACTAGCCCATCGTCCCGGGATCCCCGAGCCGGTCACTGAGCCTCCTCGGCCTCCCTCCTCGCTTCCTGCGCTCCTCCTCGGCCCGTTCTCGCCACCCGAGCCTCTTCAGCGCGCGCCCTGCGCTCCCCGCGGCCGTCAGCAGCTGCAGCAACTAGAGCGGGCGCGGGCTCCAGCCTCCCCAGGCGGGCGGGGAGGAGGCTCTGCGCACTGGCTCGCCTGGGCTCGGAGCTGGGCAGGGGGCAGGGAGACCCCAGGGCGGCGGGCTCACACTCACCCCTGGCCCCTTGCGCGCACCCTAGAACACACCGAGTCCCAGCGGGGGACCCCGCGCCTTTCTTCAAGGTGTTGCGCCGCATTCGAACGCCTTGGGAAACTCCTGGAGGACGACGGGGCGCCCGGGGCAGACAGTCGTTCCCAAATGAGCCCCCTTTTGGGAAGGGAGGAGTAGTTGACTGGGTTTCACAGACTAAGCAAGCGCCTTAAAGATTCTCGAGCTTTGAGATTGAGGAAGACCCATCTCCAAGTTATGGACATATACCCATCGCTAGTTCGCTTTTCCCCTATTCCTCCATGCCTGTGCCTGGCGCCCAGACAGGGCCATCCAGGAGGTTGGCAGGTGGTCTGTGGCTTTGCAGCAACAGATGGTTTTCCTGCTTTTTCCTTATTTAGCCACAGAAACTGCCCAAGAGAGTGAGCGAGAGACAAGGGAGACTTGGCCTCAGTAATGTTGCAGACCCCAATAATCAGTCATCAAAACAAAACTCAAAAGAAGCTTCATTACTGTCATAGTGACCCAACACGACAGGCTAGAACTGCCCCGTGGGATTGTAAATCATTACAGAAGCTATTGCTTTTCTTTCTAGCTAAAGGGCGGGTGAGTTTGAATCATTGACCTTTCGGTTAGCTACCAAGTGCTTAACCAGGGGTACTCAGTAGGCAATGTTGTTGTTATGTGCCGTGGAGTCGGTTCCGACTCATAGCGTCCCTGTACAGGGTTTCCGAGGCTGTAATTCTTTACGGGAGCAGAAAGCCTCATCTTTCTCCTGCAGAATAGCTGGTAGTTTCGAACTGATGACCTTGAGGTTAGCAGTCCGATTCATAACCACTACGCTACCAGAGCAATAGGCAATAGATCCATCAAAGTGTACTGCCCATTTTTCCGGTCTTGAACTCCACCGTGTGAGTAGGACACCATTCAGGGTCTGTCTTTCTCTTCCCCAAAAGATGAAGTAGTACAGACCTGGAAGGCAGCTTCTACTAGAGGAGTCGCCCATCCGACCCTCTCAGAAATATGGCCCCCTCTGGACACTGCCCTTCCTCATTCTGCTAGCAGGACAAGTTTTTCCAGAGCCAATTAAAAGGAAAATAATCACACTCACCCCTCATTGCCCACAGAGTTCCCAGCTGACTCCAAGGTTGGTGGTTCAAACCCACCAGCTGCTTCTTGGAAACCCCGTACGGATGCACTGTTACTTAGCACCACCAACAACAAATGGAATCTTCAGGTTCCTTTCAGGTCTTCCTGCAGCAAGAACTGAACTTGAAGAGCTAGGCTAGGTGGGCAGAGTGAGTGAAGGAAATGCCCTAAGCTTCTCTTGCTGTATGCAGAATCCATTCATTGGATTCGGGCTACCCAGTTACTTAAAAAGATTCAAAGGCAAGGGCAAAGGGGAATGCACTCAGAGACTTTAGGTATCTGGATCTCAAAGTCAGCATGGAAAAGGAAGCTAAAAATATTATTTTCCAGAAAGTGAAATTATCTGGGCTCCTGTGCATGTCCTCCAGCCCCGTCCTCTATGTTCAGCACCCGTTCTAATTGTATCCCTGCCACATCAGTCTTCCTCATGAGAGAGGGTTCTAGGTCCTTCCCAGCACTGGAATGGGGGAATTGGCCCCCATACTGCTACAGGTTTGTGCAAGAAACTTGGAATAGCCTCGAGGCTCCTTTATTTTTATGCCTTCTAGGAGCTCTGGTAGCATATAGTGGTTATGAATCAGAATGCTAACCTCAAGGTCAGCAGTTCAAAACTACCAGCTGTTCCATAGGAGAAAGATGAGGCTTTCTGCTCCCGTAAAGACCTACAGCCTTAGAGACCCTGTGCAGGGTCGCTATGAGTCGGAACCGTCTCCACGGTACTTAACAACAATAACAAAGGAGTCCTGGTGTGGTGCTGTGGGTTAATGTGCTGGACTGCAATGTCCTATACAGACTTGCTATGGGTCGGAACCAACTCGATGGCACTAAACATAACATAAATGACCTTCCTTGTTGCCCTTGAGCCTTAACATATGCCAATGCAGTTATGGACTTAGCTTAAATCAAGTACAAGGTTTGAAATTTCAAAAGAAGACTTTCTTAACATAAGAAGAACAGCCAAGGATGGAACTATCTTCCCAATGGGATATGGAACATCCAGAATGGATTTCTTCCCCCACAAAATTGAACTCCCAGAAAGCAATCATATCCCTCTGGCCTGTCTGGGGCTGTTAGTAAGAAGGCTCCGGGTTCTGTGGTTACTGTGCACCCAACTGCAGATTCCTCCCCTGGATTTTTCCTCCTTTATCACCGTCATCTCAGGACCCTTCAAAAGGGTGTTGGAAGGACACCATGTCTTTTTGCTCTCCTCAGCATCCTGGCTTTGTGAATAAATGATTTTAGCAATAGACTCGACAGTAATGAAGCTTCTTTTGAGTTTTGTTTTGATGACTGATTATTGGGGTCTGCAACATTACTGAGGCCAAGTCTCCCTTGTCTCTCGCTCAACTGTCTTGGGCAGTTTCTGTGGCTAAATAAGGAAAAAGCAGGAAAACCATCTGTTGCTGCAAAGCCACAGACCACCTGCCAACCTCCTGGATGGTCCTGTCTGGGCGCCAGGCACAGGCACGGAGGAATAGGGGAAAAGCGAACTAGGGATGGGTATATGTCCATAACTTGGAGATGGGTCTTCCTCAATCTCAAAGCTCAAGAATCTTAAGGCTCTTAGTCGGTCTTTGGTGTTATCTAAAACCTAGCTTTAGTTGGAATTCATAAAAGACCCTCATTGGTAACATCCTTCCGTTCCCACAATCTCAGATCCTTCAGTATCTCCTTGAAGGGCCTGGCTGGTATGCAGTGAATGCGAGCATGCCACTACCTAGCAGAAGCAGATGGAGTCAGGCCTTTGCCTAGCTCCACCAGCACCTTCTTCATCATCCATAGAGTGCTGTGACAGGTTCAGAATGCCTGGCACCTGGCCTGCCTACGTGAGAAGAGGTTCTGCACAGCCATGGTGAAACGCCAAAACGTATAAGAAATCTTGTTAGTGGTGGTGGTGTTGTGAGGTGCCCAATTTGAGTCGGTTCTGACTCAGTGACCCTATATACGGTCACTGTCCGATGCTAATCCTGGAATGTTGTTGTGCCATCAAATCAGTTCCAACCCATAGCGACCCTACATAGGGTTTCCAAGAAGTGACTGGTGAGCTTGAACCGCCGACCTTGCAGTTCAAATGGTTTTGTAGTCTGGCGCATTAACCCACAACGCCACACCTGGAATATATCCCTTATATTTGTTGGGTTTCCTCGTCAGCAAAATAGGAATAAATCCAAGAAACTGCCATGCCTACCAATAGGGTTAGTGCAGAGATGAGAAATCAAAGATTTTCTAGATCTTATTTGCAATTGCTGTTCTCTCCCATCACCCCCCCCCCAAGAAAGACAAACTCAGACTAGATCTTCAGACATCCCACCACCCCAAGCCTATTGCATGTGTACATGCATGAGCAAAGGGAAGATTGTTGGTATCCCTTGTCCCCACTTTGGTATTCGGTGCCCCAACCAGGTCCCTCAGCTGGGATGAGAACTGAGGCAAGGTTGTCCTTGCTCTCTGCTGCAGCCTTGTTGAGTCCAGAGGGCAAGAGAGATAGCGGGGCTGTGGACAGACTCCTGTGCTCAACAGCACAGCTGTTCAGTCCCTGTGGTGTCTCTGACACTCCAGCACTCAAGCCCACTCATTGCCCCCAATGCAATGTAAACAGTACGCACAGGCGCCTAGGAAGGGAACCAGTGACTTTTCATTTAGCGGAGGTGTGTCTGCAGCCTGGGAATTGAGAATTATACTGTATGAGAACAAAAACCGGAACAAGAGGCAAAATGTCAGCCTAGATCTACATACAATACGAACCTCTTATTTCTACTTACATGCATTTAGAGTTGCCCCAGAGAGAAGAGCATCGCCTTTACCCTGGGGGCATGTGTGCAAAGTACATCTAGTTTAGACACAATTGTGAGTTTAAATTGCTGAAGTGTCCTAATCTGAATAATCCCAACTGATTTAAAATAAATAAATGCATAAACCTACAAAAAAAATTTTAAATGGAGAGACAAAGTAGAAAGTAAAAGCCAAGGAACACAAGAAAGACTATGGTGCTCAATGTTGGCACAGCATCATAATTAATGTATACTGGATTTGATTTTATTTTTTTCCTTTCCTCCCTGACTGGCCCGGGAATCTGTGATTTTGCTGTGGAAAAGCCA